TTTTGATGCCTTGTCAATTTTTTTGATGCCTATGCCAGCTGCAGCAGGGCTCCATAGATCGTGAACCACCATTTCAACATAGGCTGCAGAAGATCGCTATGTTCTCGAGAGTTCACGGCCATAGCTGCCTTGCGTCGCGTGGCCTCATCAACCATCAAGAGAATCCAGATCTCCTTGCGCGGCTGGAAGAGCTCAGGATCAGGCACTCGTTGTTTATTCCAGGGATGCAGCGCCAGCATGATGGCCATGACATGAAAGTGAGGAGCAAAGACCTCCGGGATCACACGTCCCCGCTGCATTCCAGGAACTTGAATGCACCAGCGGGGTCCTCTATGTTATCAAGGCATGTCCTGTCGGTGGGTCGAGGCGCTGGTTCAAAAGTGTGCTCAGCACCGGAAGGACATGCGCAGCCAAACGGGCGTCACTCACAAGAGTAGAACACGCCGTGCACCCAGAAGAGACTGCGTAGCCACACTGGCCCCCTTTGTAATCCATCTTGCATCTTGTCGAAGAACACGCCAAAGGTCTTGAGCAAATGGCTCTGCAAGGGCACACCGTAGCCCTTGCCGTGCGATTGATCCCATTGACTTGACCTTGGAGAACGCGGACGGCCATTGCGCCCACCGCATCTTTTGAGAGGAACGCACCAGCGCCGATTGCTCAAGAAGCCACTAGCTTTGCGGATCGGCTGCTGCGCTTCATCCTGTGCACGTGCACTGATCGAGGCGTTGCTTGAAGATGCATTCATGGTGAAAAACGCGGGCAGTGGGACTGTCCGTGCGCGTGGCAGATCTCCGGAAAGCGGACACAGAAATGACATCGTTGGCAATTCAGCTCGCCGATCTGCTTCCCTGGCCGATGGACCCTTGGAACTGGACGAAGAAGACCAAGGGCCGCAAGATGGCGCACCAAACAATTGGCACCAATGTCGACATAGTTCACCGGAAAGGCCACCGCAAAGCTAGCCGCCGGAACTGCAATCGCAAAATCTTGACCGAGTTCATCATCCAGGCATCAAACTTCTTGGCGTAATGGGTCGCCCGCCAGAATGGCTGCTTGGCCGTCTTTGTCGGCTCAGGAGACCAGTGTTCTGGAGCCGTGGTGGCCAACTGCTCTGGTCAACATGGGCTTCTTAAAGTTCGCAAATGAAACTTTGTAACACCGGCCCAGAGGCGTGGCCGAGATCACGATTGGGAACGAGGCCGAACACCTTCCCAGTGCTCACGGATAGCAGAAGCAAACACGCCGAGCATTGAGCCAACCTTGACAGCATCCTTCTCTGAAACATCACAGCGCTCATCCACAGGCAACAGGTAATGACCAAAGTCATTCAGTAAGATGCGCAAGTAGGTTCCTCATCGGACTTTTGAACCACCAACACACCGTCCCGGTTCTCAAAGTAGTCCCGCCAGAATGGCCGCGTGTGGCCGCCGAAGAGCAAGGTTTCTGAGAAGAGTTGGGCGCACAGATCCACCACCACCAAGCGCATCGGCTTTGCGCGCACCAGAGTTCCGGAGATGCCACTGATGCTGTGATGCTTCTAGAATCCTAGAAGTCCCCGCGGAAACTTCTTTCTGTCTCTCTGAAGGAAGCACACTCAGGAGGTCACGAAACGGTTCTGCCCCCAAGGCCAGAGGCAGCCCCAGGTCAATCAAAAGCACCCGGCGTTTATCTTTCACCGTGCGGTAGTTCTCGAGAGAGGAGAAAACGCCGAGGGTGAAGGGGAAGTCCAAACGCTTTTCCACCACCGTGGCTGAGGCAGGCTCCTCCGTTGACAAGTCTGGATCGGGCTCGGTCGTGTCCGTTGCGCAAGAAGGTCTTGGCTTGCCAAGGTGGAGGATCATGTCATTGTCACGGTCCTCAATCTCAAACCGAACACGTTTCTGCTTCAGGGGAGAAGATCGAGCGGGAGGCCCGTGGAAGCTGTCGTTGAGCTTCTTGCCTCTGAAGCCGAAGTAGCCTTCACCGCCGTAGAGCCACCTCTCTTGCCATAGCTGCCGATAGTCCTGTCCATTTCTCCTGCAGGGTGTCCACTTGCTCTTTCCCTTCTGGCCTTTGCCCTTATTTCGGCCGGAGCCTTTCTTGCTTCGCGACTTGCCGTTGCCTTTGCCGCAGCTGCCCTTGTTCGGGTAGCCATAGGAGCCTTTTCCTCCTTTGCCATTGTTTACCGGGCAGCTCGAAGACGCGTGCCATCGCGAGCGCGGCAGAAAGAGCATCGTTCATGGGAAAACTCTCATCTTGAGTGGCTGCCGGTGGTGTCGCTGTAGGAGGTGAAGACGAGGATGCACTAGGAGTAAGCGGAGGTTCCGAAGGTTCTAGCACTCATCCTCGCCATAACACTCTGCTCCGTGCCAGGGTGCATCGCTCCAACCTTCATCTTCTTCACCATTATAATCATCGTGCCTCGACTCCCCGTCATCTTGCCAAAAACGTCTCGCCACATCAAGAGTCATCCCACGTGTCATCCAAAATCTTGTCCTCGTCGTCGCCGAGGTAGTAGGGATCGGTTGCTGTCAGGTCGCAGGTCTTGGGCACTGAGCTTTCGCCAGGCTGCAGAGAGAAGTCGCCGAAGGTGCAGAGGAGAATGAAGATCACAAAGACGTGTCCTTGAAAGTCGTACAACGGTTGCCTGTTTGCAGCGCGGCGAATGAAAACAGTTCCATCAATTCGCCGCCGGTGCTTGCCAGCTTGTTCCTCTCGAATTTCTGATGTGGTTGGACAGAGGGATGTCCTTGCCCCTGGTGCTTTGGCTTGATGGATGGCATGGCACTGGTCTACGGCACATGCTGACCTGTTAGCACATGTTGGTGCGATTGGTGCGCTTTGCGCTCGACCGCTGCATTGGCGGAGCTGGACTGCTACCTCGTTGCGGCTTGCTCTTGATCTACTACATGTTGGTGCTGGCTGGTGATGCTTGGCGTGATGCACATTGTGGTGCGCAGTAGTGAGCGTAGGACAGCCTCTGGGTGCGACCAGGCGTGCCTTGGCATGCACAGTGGTGAGTGTTGGCGGGGCGCGGCCCCTCCTTCTTTGCAGTGCGCTCTTGTAGAGCTTGTGCAGTGAGAGATGCTGTCTTCCTTTGCAGTGACACCTTGCCACGGCCCTCACTACCGTGGCCTTGGTATTTCTGGTTGTGGTGCTGAGGCTGTCACAGTCTTGGTGCTTGATGTGTACAGTGCATGAGTGCCTCTTGCTCGACCCTTTTGGCGAGCCTTGCCCTGCATGCACTCCGACAAGGTGATCGTTTTCGTCATGTTCTTGATTGCCGCCTTCCTTTTCGAGTGCGACCAGTTCTCTGGTCTACAGGTGGTTGTGGAATGCTTTTCCTCATCTACGTGATGATTCACGACCTCGTCGTCATGGTGCGCTTCTACATGGGTGTGCGCCTTGCGGCCCTATGGGTGGTGTGGGCCTCGCCGCCCCGTTCTTTGCCTCATGATGGCCATGGCACAGCTTTCAGTTGGCGCTGGGCTATGGAGGTTGGGGGTGACCTGAGCGGCTAGGACATCGATGACCTCATCGGGACCATCCTGTCGTTCCTCAACAAGAATTTCGTGGATGTGACCTCCATGCGTGAAACGCAAAAGATCAACAACCAATCCATACTATCGATGCATCCCAACCTGGGAAACTTGTGTTAGAAGGGTGGGGGTTGGGGCTGGGGTTGGTTAGGGTGTGGATTGTTTATGTTGCGGTAAGGTTTCG